AGTTCAGGAAACACGGCAAGGAAACAACTGAGCAGAGTCTGGGTCGTCCTGGTCCATCGGAGAGGACAAAAAGAGCTGTCAAGAGGAGTATCAAAATGGATCCCAAATTAATGGCTGCAGAAGTGGCCAAAGTTGGTGGGATGAGCCCGAAATTTGTTCAATGGATTCTCCACAGATTGGGTTATCATTGCAGAGCAGCTAGACGGAAGCCCTTATTAAGACCTGCCAACATAGTCAGACGAAATAAGTGGGCAAGTGATATGATGACCAAGTCTCTGGACTTTTGGAAGACCGTATTGTTCTCAGATGAATCAAGATTCGCTCAATTTTTGGACAGTGGAAGGATATGGGTCTGGAGAATGCCTCACCAAGAGTTTTGGCTCAACTGTGAAGCATGGTTTCAGCGTGATGGTTTGGGGAGCTGTTTGGGTTGGTGGGAGATCGAGCTTAGTGGAGTGCATTGGCAACATAAATTTTGCAAAATATGTCGAAATATTGGAGGAAGGACTCTTGCCACTTTATTCCTCAGGTTTCATGGACAAGAACACAGTGTTGTTCCAGGAAGATGGAGCACCGTGTCACACTGCTAGAAACACCCAAAAGTGGCAGGAAGAAAATGGTATCCAGAAGTTGCCCTGGCCGAGCCAATCTCCTGACATGAACCCCATTGAAAACCTCTGGGCCATACTCGACTGGCAAATCAAGAAACAACCAAAAAAACCAACTTCGAAGAGCGATCTACTCCAAGTTTTGAAGCAAGAGTGGGCAAAAATCCCACAATCTAAAATTGACGAGATGATTCTCACAATGCCCCAAAGGATCAACGAACTCCATAAAGTGAAAGGAAGATCTGCTAGATATTAATTAAATTATAAATATATTAATTCATGTGAATATGACTGAAAAGGTGGTGTCTGTTAACTTGTGACCATACTGTGTATATGGGTTCTCAGGAGATTACAGGTTGTTGGACAATGGTTGAATCTATCCTCTACATGAACAATGAATTGGAACCTATTTCAGTTTGTTGGGCCTTGGATTATTTTTTAACCTTGGTACTGGGCAATTTGGTTATGATCCATTCCAACAATTCAACCATTGTCTCTTACATCAATCAACAAGGGGCCACCCATTCATGTTCATTGTGCTTTCAAACATTGGATCTCCTTTTCTGTGTGCCCAGTCTCAGCAAGTCTACCTTCCTGCTTGTGATGTTTCATTTGCTCTGAGTTTTGTAGCGGATGGGTTTTCTTGCACAGACAAGATTCTACCTACAGAATTTTTCAGTGGTTATGATCCCAGTTTTGTACTCTTTTTCTAGATGCATTTGTCACCCACCTTAATAACAACCTGTCCCTCTTTTGGTCTCCAGTTCCACATCCTTCAGCTTTGGTGGTAGATGCTTTCAGTAAGGATTGGACCAACCTTTATGCCTATCCTCCTATCCATCTTTTCCCTTATGTTTTCTCTGTGTTTGCATTCTCCCTTTCTACCATTGCCCAGATGTCGGGATCCAGGGAGGCCTGGTGTTGGTTGTATACTGAGTCTGCACACATGTACCCTGCCTCAGTTGTCAGAATGGAAGTTGGTTTTCCCCTTCTGATTTCTAGGATTAAGTGGAAGATGGTTAGGACCCTCCTATTGCAGACCAGAAAATAAAATACCAGATGCCACCTGGTTTTAGACTAGAGTTGACTCACTGAATATGGTCTAATGTGCTCTAGTCAGTACACAATGTGGTGCATCCACTTACAGGATAGATATGCATCTTTCTGCCCAACTTAGCAAAATGTATCTTTACAATGAGCAAAGAGTATACCTGGTACAGATGGGGTGCTGTCTCCCACGGATGTGACCCTTTCATTAGGGTATCACATTCCATGGGTTCTTTTTGGGTGCCTTCTGAAGAGGGCTCATCTAGAAAAAATTTTTACAGGCTCTTCCACTACTTCAATGTGTGATTCTAGCTATTATGTGAGAAGAGGTAAGGTAATGTATCATAAGTGAACATGTTCCTGCACTGAAAATGTATTTCTGATAGATAGTTACCTCCGCTAACACTTCCTACTCATCCTTCTTACTCCTGGTACATCCTTGCACCTAATCTTAAAGTGATGAAAGTACTCTACAATATAGAGGGAGGCAGCTATACTAGGAGGGTGTGTTGCACTCCTATTGGTGAAGGGTTGTTGCATGCTACAGCACAGCTATACCTTGTGTAAATACAGAAGGGTAGGTTGGAGTATCAAGGCTAATGGTGAGCAAAAATTGCACTTATAAAGGGTAGCACAAGTCAACAAAAGCTATTATGTGAAAGAGGGTAAGTATCTATCAGAAATATATTTCTAGTGTAGGAAAATGTTAACGTTAAAAATTTTTTTTTCGCTGTGGCTTGTTAATATTTACTTTAAATTAAATATAGGTTTTAGTTTTCCATTGTACCATAAATGTGCTTTTTTGCACGAATCAATTGTATATCCTAATTTTAGGATGAAAGGAAAACATTTTTTTTTATAGGATCCCAAGGACTATATTTGCAGGCATACTGTACAGGACTGAATAAAGTTATGAATTCTTACACCCAGTGTCTTGTGGAGCTAGAGAAGGAAGTCATGACTGATCAGCATATTTCTCTCTCACACTTTCAACATCAACTAGACAAAGTAATGTAGTGTTTCATTAATTCAAAGCATTGTTATGTTATTTATTTCAATGAAATATATTAGGCCATCCAGAAACCATTTTTCAAAGTACAACTATTCTTACTTATGGAAATAAAAATCACTCTTACTTTATTGGAAAGAATACAAGATTTTCTTGACTTTTTGGGATAAATATATTTCTACCAGTGATTTGAATATTGTTGTAAATGTGTTCTGTCTTAAGAGTGGTCTCATCTTGATTATTTACTAAGGAAAAATGGGAAGTCCAGTCAACGTAATGATAACAAATTAATTTATTTCTTCAATAACATTTTCTATAGGCTACAACGTTTGAACAAATATTCCAAGGTAGAAAGTTATACCTAACCCACAAATGCAGAACTTGCGTATAGAATATCCTTGCTAATTGACCAAGTAACAGAATAGATGTGGTAATTCTTATCTAGTAACACTGATCTGAATCTCTCACTGCCTACTCATTTTGTACTCTGACTCTTTACTCATTAGCTACAAACTCATGTATTTATATTGTACTTGCCTTCTACTTACTGAACAAATTTTCCAGATCATAAAATCATGCACCCTTTAGAAAACATCTAAATTAAGTTGAAAAAATAGTTTAAAACACTTCTTCCTTCCTGGATTGTGAAGTTCCAAGGAAAATCCTAATACATATATAAAATAGTACACTTAACTGTCCATTCACTAAGTGTTTTTGTGGTTTCCTTTACCAAGGGTTATAATACACAGATGGGATGGTCTCTTGTCACTTGCTGTTTTGTCACTGGGAGAAGTTTCCTTGGGTAGATGGTGGAGCAAATTCAGTAATGGATGTATCCCTGGTATTCATCTGCAAATGGTTTTGACAGGCACTCTGGGCTCTTTAGCAGGTTGACTTTCTGCAAGCAGATTCTTCACTGAAACTACTCAGTTGGTCATTCTTTCACTGATGTACTTTCAGAAATAGTTTGGAATACCTCACCTTCTGGATTCAGTAAACCACATTATTGATTTTTTTTCCATTACAATGTGTTTCTTCTAAACATCTGCTTAAATTTGTTGTTTGTCTTTTCTTGTAATGAGGGTTGTATAGTCATACCATGTCACTTTGATGAAATCCAATCTTATCAGTATTACCATAATAGTGACTTTTCATTTTACCACTCGCTGATTTAAGTCTTTCCTGGGTAAGTTATGTATGACATCACCAATGGTTCTTAGTCTCTTTCTATATTCCACACAAGGTTCTGTTGAGTGACTGTCTTTCAGATGTGAAAATAGACAGTCCATTGGCACTTTAAATTTATTTCCCAACATCAGTGATGATGGTGTGTTGCCTGGAGTTTCATGTACTGTCATTCAGTAACTCATATGTAGTAGTGGAAGATCTTGATCCCATGTGTTCTGATGTTCATTCTCATAAATGTCTAATTGATTTAAAAGTGTACTGTTGTATCTCTCCTCTCACCATTTTGCATTTGGGAGTTGGATGAAAGGCTGTTGTTCTGGTCTTTTTTCATTCCAAGGATCTAATGCATTTCTGCAAACAATGCTCATTCAAATGTCCATTCCTGGTTTGAGTGAAAATCCAGAGTCACCCTAAATTTTAAAATGAGTTAATTGACAAGTTTCCATGCTAGTTTCTGCTTTCTGGTTAGGACAGCTTGTGCTTCTGGCCAGTTGGCAAAATAGTACATCACAACCATGATTTATTTATTCCCACTGTTACTTTGTGGTAGAAGACCAAGCACATTGACAGCAAATTTCTTATCACAATACTGGTGTAGCTGCCCATGCTGTTTTTTTCATGCTCACAGCATAGTTCAAAAAACTTTTATCAATCCTGTACAGATCTCTGGCTGATAGAGATTGCTGAGATGGTAGAATGGTTTTGAATGTAGAGACTGGAAATGCCAAAGTAATTGTTGTTTCTAACTGCTGGTATCTTCCCATTTTTAACATAAACCTTCTTGTAGGCATAATGAATCCCACTGTGTCCATTGCATCTTTGTCTTGGGGCTGTATAGAGTGTTTGTTTCTATGAATGTTTTTCTGTACTGCTTCTTATTCACTTAATAATTGCTTTCATGCTCGTATCTTTTGCTTGAGCATCTTTCAGTTGAGAGTTGGATCACATTAGTTGTTCATCATTACTTCTGAATGTCACATTTTGGATTATACTCTTTTGTATTTTAGGTTGGTTGTGTTTACTATCTTATGCTTCCCTCTTTTCACAGTGTTTACATGCTTCATTAAGACATCGCCTTTGGGATAATGCATCAACATTTTCCTGGTTCCATCCAGGGCAATTCAGGAGGTTGAAGTTGTACTCCTGATACTTATGGAGCCATCTTTCTAGTTGGTCTTCTGGATTTCATAAAGTACCCAGCCTCTTCAATGTTTCATGATATGTTTAAAATGTAAACTTCTGTCCAAGTAGGTAATGATTTAGGGCTCCAAGAACACTTAGTAGCTTTTTCCAACTGGCACAGTACCTCCTATGTACAGTATTTTTTGCCTTGTTATAGTACACAGTCACTAGTTCTTTTCTGTGCTTTATTCTTAATAACACTGTTACCAATGAAAAATCACTTACATCTGTATCAGAAATGAGTAGAACATCAAGAGTTGAGTGTGCTAATACAGGAGCAGCAGTTCGTTCTTTTTATAGTTAATTGAATGCTTCTTCACAAAAGTTATTTGATTTTTTCAAGAAATTTATGTAAAAGATGAGCTTTGTCAGAGAATGATTTTACAAAATGGTGATGTTTGGTGTTGGCCAGTTCTGAATAGATTGAAACTTAGATGGATCTGTAGACACTTCTCTGGTGACCATGTGTCCCAGGAAACATACCTGTTGATGGAACAAATCACAATTTTGGGATTCAATTTATTGTTCTCTTTATTCAACTGATCCAGAATTTTCTTTAGTCCATCTTGCACATTATCGTAAGTCTTCCCATGTGTGATCATGACATCCAAGTAGACGAGTATGATGTTCAACAGTAGTTCATTAAGAGCACACTGCATTTGTTCTTGAAATTTAGCAGGTGTATACATAATCCAAATGGTAAGATAACAAATTTCCACAAACAATTACTTAAGGTTGTCCTATCTACTTGATCCATCGACTTGAAACCAATTGAAAATCCTTTTCATCTAGATAAGCATCCATAATAGAGTCAATCCCTGGAAATGGTTTGTCATCATCCTTTGTGACTTCATTCATCTCTGGTAGTCTATGCAGAATCTTTTGGATCCACCCTTTTTCTTTTCAAGTTTAGTAGGTGATGCTCAAGAACTAATATTTTTCTGTTACTCTTTGTTCATTCCTGGTTTTTATCCCTTTTAAACCCTCAGCATGTTTTGCACCTTTCAGTTATCTTGGTAACTTGCATATTGGAGTTGTATCTCCAGTATTGATTTTATGAGAAATTTTAATTGTTCATCCCAAGTCATGAGGTCCATTGGAGAATATTTGATATTCCATGAGCAAGTTATTTAACCCTCTAACAAATGGTAATTTTTTTAAATACGTTTCAACACATGTTACAAAGTGCTTTGTTCTACTATGATCCAGTCACTAACAAGTCCTGGTATGAGTGTTTTATTTCTTAGTGGTGCAGTGACAGCCCTCCTAGTTGTCACTGGAAGTTTGATCTCTGGTGTACCAATTGTTATGTAGTGCACAGGGATTTCTTGATCACAGACTGTGAAACTATTGGAAACTAGCCTAACCTCACATCTATGTCTCTGTATGAAGTTAGTTACTAATATGCATTCTTCCTCAGTGTCATTCACCCACGCATCATGAAGTGTAGTGAAGCTTCATACAGTGAGGATAACTTCCAATTTTACTGTTGCTGGAATCTTATATACACTTTCTGTTTGCATCAGTCCATTTTATTTCTTCACTACTAGAGGCAATTTCTTACCTTTCATTACCAAATTGGGTCAAATTATTGTAGCTGTAGAACAAGTGTTGATTAACATACTGCAAACCCATGGGCTCATAGACTGATTTTTTTTTAAATAATGAACTTCTTATTTCATCTGGGGCAGATGGAGCATTATAAACTAAATTTTGCTCCATAATATCAGCTAACTCATGTTTTTCCAATGTCTGATTAGCTGTTTATCATTCCTTTGATCTAGTTGGGCTCAAAGTCTTACTCTTAAGGTACAGTCTCCTTGATTTATTAACAGCTATTGATACTTCACAGTCATGGGTGTAATAACAGGTTTCTTTTATCTGTAACCATTGCCTCTTTCTAGTATACTTATGGAGTTCTTATTTCATACACTCCTTTGTCTGCAGTTCCTGGCAATATGTACTTTCAAGCACACATGGAATACTTATTGTCTTATGGTTTATTTCCTCCATTTGTTGTAACTAGTTGTCTAACTAATCCTTTCAGTTCCTCTAGACTAGTGCTTCCCAAACTTCAGTCATTCACCTACAACCTTCACAATTTTTGCCATATCTGCATACCACCTGTACTATTATTTACATTTTACTTAACATTTTTCTTTAAATCAACTCACTTTTTTTATTTAAATAAATTTTTGTAAAAGGAAATTTCATAATATTTGGATAACTGGAAAAACCAGAATGGACTTACCATGATATTTATTTCAAAACATTATTTTTCTCTTCTCAAAAGGACATTGTTATAACAAAGCGGACTTGATGATGCGCACACCCTCTGAATAATAGCCATTGTTAATTGTCAGCAGATAATGTAATAACCATGTTAAAGTTAATTTTTTCTTAGAATTTATTTCTAATACACATTAAAATAAATATATAACTATTAAAATAAAAAATTCATCCTCATACCACCTAAAATCATCTTGCATACCACACTTTGGGAAACACTGTTCTAGACTATTTTAAGATGGAGTTGATGTTTCAATACTAGTCTATCTGATGATCCTGGAACTTCATAATGGTGTATTTAGTTGTTTATCTGTGACTTCAATGGATTCAAGCTCCATCT